GGGGAAGCGGGGACAGGAGGGGGATGCTGCAGGGAAGCTCCGTCCTGTTCGGCAGCCTGCCTCTTCCCGGGGCCGGAGCATGCCGGAGACAGGGGCACGGAGCCTCGACCCTTGCTCTGGCTGGGGAAACCTTATATTAGTGACACATCTACACACACGCACGCACTCACACATGCAAAAATAAGTCTGTTTATTCTCTTCAAAGTGATCTAGAGGACTCTGCAGGGCTGGGACACCTTCTAGCCAGTACTCCCCCCGGCTGCCTGGATCTCCCCAGTGCTGGGAGCTTGTTGGCTGAAGTGCTGCATTGGTCTCAGCGCCTTTAAAACACAATGGAACAGTAAATAAGAGGGGCTACGATAAAAGGAGCTGGCGGCACGAGAGAGAAAGCTCCGTGGAGCGGGGCGCTCGCCTGGGAGGCGGAGGGGCTGCCCCCCACCCCGGTGACGGTGCTCGGGAGCGGAGTGTAGTGGATGTGGCGGTGAAGGCGCAGCCGTCCTGGCGATGGGGGGGACTCGGCGGCGGGTCACTTGCGGCTCAGCAGGGATCCCAGCAGAAGCACTCCTGCCACCGTCGCCCCGGTCAGGAGCCATTTGTTGAAGGTCTCCTGGCCCTTCCTCACCTCGGCAGCAGCATCATTCCCATAGAGGTCCACAAACCGCTCCTGTGGGAGGAGAGGAGCAGTGAGCAGAGGGGTGGGAACAGAGCAGAGACCCTCTCTGCCGCTTTCCGGGGCTCCTTCCTCCTCCACGGAGCGGTCCAGAGCGGAAGATGCAGCGGGATGGGGCAGGAAGGCTGCTGGGCTCCTGCTGGCAGGAAAGCAGCGGTGGGGACCGGGCGGATGACAGATGCCTTGTGCTTCCTTGCTCTGAATCATGCACAGAGGGCGATGGGGGAAGCACAGGACCAGTCATGAGAGAAGTGGATGCCAGAAAGGATTTGCAAGGAGAATACCACGCGGGCAGGGCAGGAGATGCATCACGTGCTCTAGGCTCTCTAAAATTAGCATCGAAGTGTGATAGAAATCATTGCAGCAGGAAAGCGCTGGGCTTTTTTCCACGGCCGAGGCCTGGGGGAGCAGCAGCAGCAGGGTTGGTGCCCACGGCTGCGGCAGGGGCCCCCACCCCCGCTTTTGCGTCCAAAGCAGAACCTCCCACCTCCCTCTCCCGACTGCTGCATCCTGGCAAGACAAGCGCTCCCGTGTCCTGGCCATCGCAGGTTACTCTGCAGCACAGTCTGGATTTCGCGAATCCCTGCGGCAAAGGCAGACACTCTGGGTCGCAAAACTCCTGCCTTCCCCCGGGCTTCAGGAGAGCGGGCCAAGCACGAGGCCCGGCCAGGAATGTAGTCACTCCGGCCCGGCTCGTCCGAGCCGGCTGCCTCCAGTACTTCATCTCCAGCAACAGATTTCAACAGAGCCACTGCACAGCAAACAGCCACAGCCCCTCTCCCTCCGAGGGACACGTGTGACAGGGCTGGGGACAGACGGCCATGGCCCAGACTGGGGGAGATGGAGGGCAGAGAGAGAGAGAGAGAGAGAGAAGACCACCAGAGACCTCGGACCACTGTGAGGATAGCTGCTTGGGTCCCCGGGCCACACGCACTGCAGGAAGGAGGGGTCCACGGGCAGGCTATGTGAAGCGGCGAACTTTACGCCCCAGCAGCTCCCAGCTTTATCAGGGCCGAGCAGGAGCACCGGGGCTAGAGGGAGCTGGAGCTGCGAGCTCCAGGCTCAGGGATTGCCGGGCGGCTCGGCGTCAGCAGGGGCTCGACGCTGTCGCACCTCGAGCCCATCTTCCCAGCAAGGTCCCATGTTCCCTGATAAGCGAATGCAGTTCCAGTAACCCGGCTGCTCTGGGAAAGCAGAGATAAGCCCAGCTGAGGCTGTGCTGGTGTCACGCCTTACCACGGCCTCCCCGGAGGCAGG